CACGTCCAGGCGATCGGACGTCTCGTCTCTCTTTCGCGATCGTCTCGATAGCACGCGAAGTGGCGACATGAAGAAGAGGAGCCTGTCCGGCAACATCGGCGTTGGCGTGTTCCTGGTAGGATTCGTCTGCGTGTGCGTTGCCTTCGGCACGCCCTCCTGGTTAGTCAGCGACCCACGGATCGTCGGGGCGCAACTCGACCGACTCGGCCTGTGGCGACACTGCTTCAGGTCGCTGCCCAATCCCCAGGAGTCCGACGCGCCCAGGCGATTCTTCGTCGGCTGCAGATGGGTCTACGATCCGTTTACCGCGGGTTACTCTGAAATCCGCGGCTTCTTACTGCCCCGTAAGTAGTCGTGTAACAATCTCAAACACATCCAAGGGAAACTGTTCTTATGTTTCTTAGTTCAACTTATTCTTCATCTTTTTCTGATTCTTAGAACTAGAAAAAGATGAAGAGTTAATTGAATCAAGATTACAATTTAAATTACGTTAGCAGAAATGGACTCTTAACATCAAACAGTGAATCTTTCATCTTTCTTTCTGAGAAGGAAAAATTTGTTATTAGAGGAATAATAGACTACTTTGGATTATCCTTGAATTTGAAATGCATTGATAATATAATGACAATATTTGTTGATAGTTATTACTGAGAGTTTTTCAACAGGAGATATATATCAACACAAAGTTTTTGTTCAGCGAGAGGCAGAAACAAAGAGAATAACTCTTATGTCGATCATGTATCCCTTGATGGAAAGCTCCTAGTAATAATGGGCCTTTACCATTTGTTTAACATAATATTTTTTATTACAGCTTTTATGATAGCCACGCAAGTGTTCTTCACAATATGCTTTCTGCTGGCCCTAGTATCGTTCTTTCTGATATTACTCTTCACTCTGTGCTGCGATCCAGAACGAAAGAGATATATCGAGCTGATAACTACCATCGGTTACTTGCTGCTAGGTAGCGGTATCAGTGGTGGCATAGCAGTCATCGTATTTGCCTGTCTTGGTAACGCTGACGGTTGGATGCCTGGACACGCCAATAATTATTTAGGATGGTCGTTCGCTCTAGGTGTCATAGGCAGTGTACTAATGCTGATCGCCAGCGGTTTATTGCTGGTAGAGGCAACCGTGCAACGAAAGAAACGAGACTACCTGAAAGAATCTCAAATGCGTTTTCAACTCGAATCTCGCGCCTAAAACGAATAGCACTTCCTGACTTGTTCGCAAGAATTGCGCACAAACGTCTGTATTAAAAGTCTGTAGTACCGTTCCGTCCATGCAGGGTGCAACGTTTTATTTTAGAATTTTTCTCTTTCTCTATAAAATGTACAAAAAAGAAACGGATCTGTATTAATTTAAGTTTAGAAAATATGTAAGTTTAATATTTTTGTACGATATTTTATATCTCTACATAATATTACGTATATTAGATCATAGTATTGTACGATAATATTGTTATTAATGATATCAGACGATACACGCGTCTTAAAACAATTGCAGAAAAATTTGCAAGAAATTAAATAATATAAAAAGGGTCCACGATTTTTTATTCGAAACAATTGTGCCTTTTTAATATTTAATAAAGATTTAAAGCTTGACGATATATATATATATATATAAAATCGTAAATTGTGAGGAAAGGCCATTTGTTCAAGAATTGTGTGCATAATAATCGTTTTGCCACTTCTCTTTTTGTATTCAAAAGATGCATTTAATTAAGATGCAACACTATTTTTTAATCTCATTTTTTGACAAATATTTTATTATATATAATATTTTATTACAATTTTAACTTATTGACTTGATAATTTGATGTGATCATTTTTATTACTTATACAGTTTTTTCATGAGCTTTTCTGTGTAGCGTTTTGAGACGCAAATTACGAAATACCTTGTAGATTATATCTACGTACATATATATGTATATTATATTATTTAAAATTTTATGCACGAGATTATATACTCACAATGCAGCTATGCAATACATATCATGAAAATCTGAACTAACGAGATTAATAGGATCAAAGCAAATTTTGTAATTCCATCCTTTACCAAATAAACCTTCTAATACAAGATATTTTTTATTTCTGCAGCCTATCAATCTCACTTAAATTTACATCTGAAATTCAAATAAATTAGACCTCTCGTTAAATAAGATAGTAAATTTGAAATATATAACTATAATTCAGGCAAACTAATGAAAAATCAGTGATTGAAAAACTTAAGCATTTTTTCTCTTTTTTAACAAAGGAATTATTAAGTTCCTCCAATCAACACCTCTATTTCCTCTGGGACCTTCTCCTTGGCCATGATTGGCCACGATCAACGGATCAACAGAAGCCGGAGCGTTTGGCCGTAATAAGGCACTGTAGATATGAGTATTCGCATCCGCCATTTTTATCCCTTTCCCCACTCCTTGCTCTCTCTTCACTCCGCCGGTAACGCGTTATTTTTTAAAATGAATAACAAGTAACGGTAACGAGTTATTTTTAATAAAAAGTAACTGTAAGGGCCAGTTTACCAAGCCGATTAAGCTTAATCGATGATTAACTGTCAACCGCAATTGATCAATTCTACTAAACAGCAAACGCGATAGGTCAGTCAACGGCTGATTAAGTTAATTGGCGTTGGTGAAACTGACCCTAACGTAACACGTTATTTTTCTAAGGTAATGTCCCCAACTTTGCATATATTGTTGTATTACACGGTTTTTTAGAGTACTATTAATAGTCTGAACTTAGTACGGCGTTTGAATCTCGCGCAACATTTGGGGGAAAAATTTGATTGGCTGCTCCAATATTCAGGGGACTTATTACGGTTCCTTGTGACGAAGTGAAAATTACAAAAGTGATTGAATTTACTAGAATATTTATAACTTCATTGGTTAACATTTAGTGAATTTGATCATTTTTGTAATTTTCACTTCGTTACAAAAACCATAATAAGCTCCCAGGTGCCAATAGTCGTGTCCAGCAAACTCAACTATTGCGGAGCAGATTCGTGAGCGCTCGCTGCTATTGGATGATCTAAAAGGATACACCAATAGCAGCGAGCGTTCAGTTGAGTCTACTGAACGCGACCATTATGCGCGATGGTACACCTTGTTTTCTTACATCATGGTAGTTGATGCGGGTTTACTATCACTGGGTGTGGCGAGGGTGAAGTGCGGTGACGAACGACAACAATTGTAAACGAACGAATTGTACAGATCAGTTAAGTTTCACGTTGGCCTTTCTAAAAGGTCATCATGACGGTAGACAAGCAAGATTATCACAGAGCGTCCAGTGAGTAATTGATTAAGTCAAAATCAGCAGAGCGATTATCTGAAATAACCTGTACTAATTGTCCTCCGTTTTGATTAATAGACGCAGTCGTTTTCGGTGGAGGACTCTCGTTCGTGGCGCTCTTTCTCCTAATGATGGCCTTTATAAGGTAAACATATCTTTAAACAATTATTATAAGTAACTAACAATCTCAAATTGACTTGAAATATATGAAAACAATGTTACTGATCCTCTCATAATTTCCAGTCCGTATTGGATAGAATCATATAAGGAGACGTTCAGCAGCTTTAAGCATATGGGACTCTGGGAGTATTGCTTTGAGCAATTTCGTTATCCTTATTATCAGTTTGACAAACAATTCGATGGCTGCCACCATATATTTTCACAAGAATATTATGTCATAAGAGAATGGCTGTTGCCAGTATGGCTCATGGTAGTGCAAACATTTGTCACGTTGGCCTTGATGCTGTCCATCTTTGCCTTCATTATAATTGCCTTGATCTGGACACGTTGGCCATTGACATTTGTCCTGCATTATGAATGGATTCTGTCGTCCTCTGTGTTTGTATGCGACGCAGCTGCTGGTAAGTGCGAGAGTTTTTAAAGTTAAAGATAGAAGATACCGAACGTTCTTTAATCCGGTTATTTTTTAATTTTAGGCGTGTTTCTCTTTCTGGCAGTCTCTATATTCGGCGGACAATGCTGGCGTCGGGATTGGTTAATGTATCCGAATTTCAATCACTTGTCGTGGTCATATGGTCTTGCTGTCATATCATTTATGATCCACACGTTTGCTGCATTCTTTCTTTACTTAGACGCGCGGGCAGGTTACAGATTACGCAAAGAGTCTCGTAACTTGGTGATGCAGATGCAGCCGAATCCACAATCTCAACACGGCCTGCCAAGCCGAAGCGGATACGTATAAAGTAATCTCAAATCGTGTGCTTTTGGCGAAAAATTTAATTTCTACGTAAATTTTTATCGTTACTTTTAATGAACAAGCAAAAAAAAGACAAAATCTGTTTCTTAAGAAAGACTGTACACCATCTGTGTACGATTTTCATCCGTCCATTTAATTTGTTCATTAAAAATGATAGCTTTATATGTATATATATTTATATATATAAACTTTATATATATATATAAGCTCTTAGCTTTATATATATATATAATATATATATAAAAGCTCTTATTTTTAATGAATAGTTCTGTGTGAGAGTGGTCGACCATAATTGGCAGGTCCTCGGTTTGATCCCGACTCTCATCCCCTGTATGTACCTCCGTTTTAAGAGGTTGATTTTGAGAGTTGAAAGTTATAAACGGCGAGTTGATATAAGGCGATCTGTTTCGAGAATCTACATTTCATTTTGTATCTAATTTAATCTACATTTAGTTTGCATTTAATTTAAAAAGGATAAACACGTATGTGTGTGTTACGAGATTGTTGCCTTCTCTCGAGTTAATTAACTTACATTCGATTTTCTTTAAACTATAATAATTCGCTTATGCGTGAATAATATCCGTCCGTTGTTATACTCACGTACCCACTTTTTTTTATCAATTTATATATATATATTTTATACATTTTATATAGAATACGTATAATATAATAGAATTATATTATTTGATTTACAAATGTATAGGAAATTAATAAAGAAATATTCTTTTTCGTGAACGAAACTACAGTAAGTTATTGTAGAAGTTTTCACTCACCTGGAATATTCGCATGCAACGCAACGTCGAGCACGTAACGCATGGCGTCCAATCCGAAACTTGCGTCGAGAATGATGAAACTTGCTTTTTCGAGGTGCGACTGATACTCTTTTATAAACTTCGGAGTAATCATGGCGAAGGATTCCATTTCACTAACGTAGAAGTGACATTCGCCATTAACGTCCACTACCACTGTCATCCTGTAACATTAGTGATTATAATTTGTCAAATACAAATGGATCTGCTGATATTCGGATAATCAATTTGTCGAATTATCCTATTACTTAAATTTGGATATCCCAACAATTCGAATCTTCATATCTAAAGAAACGAATTTATTGGAATCTGAATTTGTTAATTTGCATTTATAAGTACAGCAAATTAGACAATTAAAAAGCAATGTTCTCGTTTCTCTTTCCTGGTCTTCTTAGCTGGTTCTAAAAGTGTTATTTTCCCTCATAGTCAAAAATATCGTTATAATCAAAAGAAGCTATCTCTTATCTAAGAACGTCAACACATTTACAAATTCGTAATAATTGGATAATAATTATTGAGTAATTTGATAATTATTTCGACTAATTTGGATACATTATACTGTCCAGATATTTATATAGTCTTGTATATTATTCGGCGGAACTATTGGACAAGTTTTGCCGCCGAATACTCGTCAACGAAGCAAGATTGCGACTCGTACCTTGCGGTGTCCACGTCTGACATGCGTTTAACTATCTCGCCTCCGGCTCCTAGGCTGTCAAGAATGATCTTCCCATACTCGTCGTCGCCAACGATGGATATCAAACGCGTATTTTCCAAACCGAGCTTGAGCAGTGCATCAGCGACGTTTCGACCAACTCCGCCGCAGCTTCGTCTACTTCGTCCGGTATGCGTTCTCCCGTCATTCTGGAAATGAATCGCTCTCTTCAGGATTATTCGGACTCTACATCAATTCTGTTGGACGATCAATCAATTTTTCATATAGAAGTAATATTTTCCACATGGCAAAGAGGGAGGGAAAAAATGCAAAGATTAAAACTATAAAAGTCTCTTAAGAGAGAACTTTTATGGTTACAGTAAAGAAGAGAATGTTTTAAAAAGAGAGCATGTTGTAGAAAAAGCGGATCTACACTCTTCAAGGAAATTAGCCCTTGGGGCTATAAAGGAGTGCTTGCTTTGGGTATATCCGTTTTTCTCCAGCTTGTAAAAATTCAATTAAACAGTGGAGCATTCGCTCCAGAGTCTCACAGCTGAGAGCGAGTGCTTAGGGGAAGCATGCAAAGTCCCATCCCTGTGATACTCAAGTAACATATAGTGTTTACCCTTTCCATCCTCTTCTCCCCATTCCTACATCTTGGTGTACAGTATAACCGGTGCCTATGTATCTCTGTTCTACACTTTCTCTCTCTTTCTCTCTCTCTCTCTCTCTCTCTCCCCCTCTTTCACACTTCTACTACATCCGGTGGTAACATATGGCTGGACATTTTTATCTCTCCACCTCTTCCTTCCACCTCGACTCTATTTCTACGTATCAACGCTGTGCTTGGGGATGCGCGCACCCTCCCACGAGAGAGACCTTATCGGTCAGACCTATTTCTCGTGACGACAGTGCTCCGTTTCATTCTCACGAAACAAGACCGATCTCGTCTACCCTTTTGTGGCATAAAATAGTGGTATTGGAATACGAATTTATTCTCTGTGACGGCTCGGCTAGCGGTTACTGGATCGAAGCGGAGGCCATTTCGTCCATCTCCGATCGTCCACCCTTGCACACTCCCTTCGCGTGTCTTCCCTCTATCTATCAGTTTGCCCTGCGACGGTGGTGGCAGAGTCTCTTCAATCATCGTGCCAGTCTGGTTGCCTATCTCGGGCGCTGTTCATGGTGAACACCCCCGCGGTTCACGTACCCCCGGGTGCCGCGTGTTCTCTGCGCCGACAGAGTAGAGAAAGAGAGAAAGAAAGACAAGATAGACAAGAGGATAGATAGGTAAAGAGAGCCGCGCGTGTCCGCCTGGAACGTCCATCCCATGAGTCAGACGCGCGGGGCGAGAAGCGTCGGGCGTCGTAGCCGCGGCGTCACGACGACGACGACGCCGACGACGACGCTCGGTCGCGCGCACGAGTTCTCGACTCTGCGTGATCAGTGGCAGTGAGAAGCAGCGCGTCGCGTTGCGTCGCGCCGCTCCACGAAGCATCGTGCGAGCGACATGCGCTACGGCTGGCGGCGGCCTTGTCAAGTGTCGATTGTGACCAGGAGGACGGGGACGAGACCGAGGCCGAAGCCAAGGACGAGAACGAGGACATCAACGGCGACGAGGACCAGGACAACGAAAACGGGAATAACGCCGGTAACGAGGAAGCCGAGAACAAAGACGACGACGTCGAAGTGCTGGTGGTGAGAGGTGTCACGAGGTGTACGGGACGCATGACGAGGAAACGCGGGCGATTGGTATGAACGACGACGTTGTGGACGACGTTGCCGAGGAGGACTCTCACGGCGATGCCAGTGGTGAAGAAAGCGCTACGGGCACCACGACGACGACGAAGACGACGACGATCGCGTTCCTCGTGCACACCCCGACCGTCGTACTGTCGACCCGACTGATGACACCCGGCCGCAGCGATTCCGCAGCGGTCTCGGCAAACAAGATCGTGTGCACATAGGCTGGTAATCGGCGTTAAGAAATTTGCGTCGTAGAAAGCGCGATCCTCAAAGTGATCACAAGTGACGAGCTGCCCGTGGCGTTTCTCGTCGAAGATTTCTCTAAAATTCCCTACTTCTCGAAACGTTTCACTTCCGTGCAAAGTAGTCGCTTGACGAAGAGGATCAATCGGCCCATCGAATAGGATCGCTTTCCTCGGAAAGACTCTTTCCTTCCTCGAGGATCTTCCCTGAAGAAAAGGTCTCTTCCTAAAGGACACAAGAATTACAAGGACCGAGACCTTCCTTCGCAAGAGAAAGCACCTTGACATCGAGCGTGACTTTCCTCCGGAGAAGTCCTACGCAGAGGTATCTAGTTGATCGAATAAGCCGGGTCAACGACGAACGGTGTCTCCTTTGCGAAATTTAGCAATTGTGTCCTCCTCCTCGAGCCTTCGTCGAAGAGACCGCGTTCGCTATGGTATCAAAAAAAATCTTGGTGAGATTCGAAAGCGATTTGAAAAGCGTGTTCGAGCATTCGAGGGTGTCACGCGTTACATCCACGCCATCCCGATCGACAAACGGGCACGATTGACTTGCCGATCGGTCGGTAGAGCCTGCGAGAAGAGTTTGCGCGATGCGTGTGGCATTTCCTGTTTTGCATTAGATGAAAATAGGACGAAGCGTCGTAGCGAGTAATGATAAATTCCTTCGGGAAGGTCGGGAGGAAGATTGCATAACACCACGTTCCCACCCTACGTCCATTGCCACCCTCTTCCTCCCCTTCTCCTGCGCGCGCATTTCCTCGTCGTCCTTTTTCTCCCTCTGGCTTTTCGCGCCTCTTCAGAGATATGTTTCACCTCGTATATCAATATCTAATTAAGGACTGCCCGATAATCTTTTTTTATCACGTTTGTCCCCGCTCAGTAAGACGTACGGTAACTCCGTCCCCTTGTCCCTCGCTCCGGCATCCGGCGTTGGAAAAGGATTGCACATTGCACGCGACATCGATCCGCGCAACCCTCTTTTCTCTCTCTCTCTCTCTCTCTCTCGCTCTCCTTTTTTTCCTTCCGCGGGATTATGTAAAGCAGGCAGTACTGGACGCCGGCCAGGACATTGACTGCTCGTTTTCGTGACGATGGGAATTATCTCTCCGTTAAGACGAAAAGATAGGTAACCGCGCGCTGTCGATGCCTCTTTTTCTTTCTCGTGTTTCCTCTCTTTCTCTCTCATACGTATATCTCGCTCGAGTCGTGTGTCAATGTGGAACGCGCGCTAACGCGCAGGGTTTAAACGATCGATGGGTTTTTTTTTTTCCGTGTTTTCATTACAATGCGCCACTCGCATATACTCGTGGCGGCTCGTTCGCATGCAATGCGAATGCCGATGCACGAAAACGAGAACACGCTTTGGCGCATTGCCCTGGCCGAACCGATGCACGTCCGTGTTCGCGACCCTGACGAGGACAATCTCGGGACGATCCGTGTATCCCCATGTAGAGAATGTAGAGAATCTTCACCGAGATTTCGCATGTATTATGAAAGCAGTGATTTTTCTCCTCCCTAATTCTTTGAAGTGCAGAAACCTCGCTCTAAAAAGTGAACTCTCACTTTTTAAGAGCAATAATTTTGCCAATCTTGAAAAAAGAAAAATATCACTCTTTAGAGCGAAAATTCTGCCACCGAAACCATCTAATTTTCGGAAGTGGAACCTCACTTTTAAAGAGTAAAAATTCTGCCATTCTTTAGAGTGACTTCCACTCCCAAGAATTTAGAGAATTTCTCTTTCTTCTTTATATTTTGCTTCCTACTTTAGAAACTATCCCTCTGGTATTTCATCCCCTTTATTCAGCCCTGCCTCTTCGTGACTGTATATATACCTCTTCACAATTCGTCAGATAGGGTTGTCTCTGCGGTTCTTCCGATGGCTCGCCGAGCCGGCGACGCTATGTACCGATATACTCACTCAGGCGCATATCCTCTCTCTATCCCGCACGATTTATCTCTGTCCCTCCTCGGAGAAGCTACATAGAGCTAGGCGGCGGAGGATCGATAAATAGAATCGCCTATCGCACGCTACAACTGTCAGAAAGAAATACAATCCGCCCGAGGTGCACGCTAGCCTCCTCCCGCTGTTGGCTTCAACTTGGAAACGCACGCATGTTGAATTCCGTTGAATTCCCGCGCCCTCCCTCCTTCCGCATGTCCCCTTTTAGATCGAATCATCCACGGATAAGAAGAGAGAGAGAGAGAGAGAGAGAGAGAGAATTTCAAATTACGCGACATGGTAAACAAGCGGAAGATCCAAGATCGAAGATCAAATCGAAAAGCTTTGGATCGTAAAAATTTTCAAAAAAGTTCAACTAGCGCAAGACAGATTCGAGGATGTGTGGGTCTGTTGGGAATATGGTTCTCATATATTTTTCATGTACTTCTTTTTTTGCACAGGAGAGAATCGTTTATCGTTCCGGTTGCTGGAACACCAAAGACCGCCATTGCGGTGAACGACAGGTGCGCGTGAAACGAGGGGGACAACCATGAATGTTAGCATGAACGACCTTCCGGTGTGGCGATGCAGCACGATGTGGCTCGCGTGACTCGCGCCGGTCACGAGTAAAGAAGATCGGTCTCCACCTTTGCCACTACCCTCCTCGCGTAATACCGCGGCAGCGACGGCCACCACCACCAAACGGTGCAACGCGCTGGCCCGTCTCTCCTATTCAGCCCCCCGCGTTCGCGGGGTACAATCCTTACGACGAGGACACGCACACCAGGGTGGCACGATAGTATGACGGTGATGCTGCTGCAACGTTCAGTCACCCCGCAGTCGACGCACAGCCAAAAGACAGCGACGAAGGACTGCAGCGCGAAGCCGCCCTTTCTCTTTCTGCTGGACGACCGTGAAGAACATCGGCACTCGACCGATACCAACACCACGACTACTACGAACAACAACAATAATAATAATAACAATAATAATAATAATAATAACAACAATAGCGTCAACAATAACAACGTCTTCAAAAGAGGCGACCAGAGGAGTAACAGCCGCGATCACGTCGCCGACGAGGCGCCGTCGTCGGTGACGTCCCAACGACTCGCCGACGGTGGTGAGGACGTCGCGATGCGATATTACCGCCTCTGGATCTACGCCTGTAACCTGGTGCTGTTCGGTAGCGCGATCGGCTTTGCCGCCGCGGTGTCGCAGACTCTCCTGTTCACCGGCGACCCACGTCGGCACGTGGTGCCGGGTATACCTCGCGTCT